GACGCGAAGGAAAATATGCAGCTCTTGTTGTTCCTCCAGCTTCTCCTCTTCCGGGTACTGCCTCATGGCTTTTTCGGTCTTCTACAATTGCTGCAAAGGACAATCCCGCAGAAGGAATGTCACGACGCACTAAAACCTGTGTGGAAGTGGCTGACTGCCCTCTACTGCTGCAGCCAGAAGAGGATTTGCTGCCCATACTAGAGGCGCTCTTGTGCTCGGAATGGAGTTGTTTCATCCTCATCGCCATGGGCAGCTCTTCAGGGGTGTCACTGGAACTGCTGAAAAGCGGCATTGTCAAAATTTCTGGTAAGCCTGTGACCTGTAGCATATTATCCATCCTTCGTTTTCCACCACCTGGGATAACTACCGCGTCAAATGCTCTCATTTGCTCCATGGTCGTGCTGGCTCCTCCTGTCGTGATAATGAGGTTGTTGCCTGAATTAGATTGTTGCTGTCCTGAAGGGTTCATCGTGGTGCCTGTCGCGGAATGATCTTGTTCGTGCCCAAGACGTACAACTTCAACTCCTTGGTCATGAGGGTCTCCTCTCGTCTGGTCTCCTCTAGCCGATAGTTGCTCTTGACTCTGCTGCATAGGTTGCTGACCTTGCTCCTCTTAACGCTAGACACGACTCACCATCTGTGGCTGGTGAGTGAGTTCCTCTCTTTCGCCTACTTTGAGAAGTCAGAGGTGGCTCTTGAGACTTCACGCAGGACGATATCTCAACCTCACTCTCACACCAAATACAAATAGGGACTCCTGTCTAGCCATAATCCTCTCGAGTAGTTTCCTGTTCTGGGTCAGAGCAAAAGGAAGGAAGACTCCAGAAGTTCCCTCCACCCTCGCGACCGCTGCTGGTTCAATCCTTAGAAGATCCATCTTTTTATGGGTTGGTTCTTTTACAAAGAGACATCAAAATCAAAATCAATGAGGGAAGATGAAAACGTGACTCATCGATTGCAATTACGCTCCTCACGCTGTTGGTGTTGTCCACCTTCATGAATCAAGATCATCGTGTTGAGCATCTTCTTTGTAAAATGATAAGCGACAGTGGGGAAATAAAGCCGGAGGGAAGATTAACCGCTTCCTTGTTTTCCATGTTCATGCTGAGTGGCCATAACGGCGGCGTCCCCTGAACGCTGGCGGCCGAGCCACGAATCGTGGAGGGCTTGCTGCTGTAGCACACATCTAGGGACCGGTACAAAGTGCTGCTGCTGCTTCCGTCCTCCTGGTACCTGCAACAAAGCAATTCGCTGATGACCACTAGTTACGCCAACACCACCGCCATGAGCGTTCATGTGATCAGAGGCAGCGCCGGAAGCTCCTGCATGCTGGTAGTTGTAAAGAGTGGTACGCCGCGAAGACGAGCTGCTGTCGGCGATGCACTGACTAAAAATATGGGCCACGCCACTGCTGCTGCTCTCGGCAAGGTTACGAGGTGGCCAAGGCGGCGCGCAGTTTGCCTCTTCCTCCTCATCATCCCAGAGAATCATAGGCACCTTGAAGGCCGTCTTCTTTTCCATCCACGGCGCAGCGGCAAAAGAGAATGAAAAGGAACTCGGGTGGGCAGAGCGGGGAGAGCAATTAAAAACATACACCACGGACAAGAAGAAGGTAGAGCGAGCGTACCTACAATCAAATTACAATAAACAAGCCTCACTGGCTTAGGCCATCCATGGCGGGCATCGCCCCTATCGCATTGATAAGGACCAGCAAACGATGAACAGACTGACAGACGAGAAAAAGCGCCATCCTTTGACAAGGTGGCCGTGGCAGCCTGCTTTGTTCCTTCGTCCACCGACGCACAGCACTCCATCAGGCGCATTGCTTGACCAACGAGAAGGAGAAAGAGAAGAAAACACACAAGGAGCCCAGAAAAGCCCCACGAAGGAGCACGCTAACAGATGGCAGCCCAGACCACCTCACGCCCCAGCGCCAGAACGCGCCACACCCATCGCCCCGGCGAACGCCACTCCGCAGAGCAATGAAACCACGGCAGCACTTCAATGAATTGAAGCGACACACCAGCCGGGACCTAAAAGACCAGTCTGGGGGCCTTTGCAGTTGCACACCCTCAACGAGCTGCCAGCGGAGGCTGCAGAGAAACGACACACCACAAAGAGCCAGCAGGCCCCGAAACTCCGCACCAATGGCCTGCGTCGCTTGTTCGCTTTCGTTTCCCGGCGCACTTTCTTGGAGCGTTCTCCATGGTCTTCCCCGCAGCACTGTCAAGCCATTTCTAAGAGCTTCGCCCCTCCCTGCTGCGCACTCTTCTCGCCCGGCGTTCTTCTTCAGTCTCCGGCGTGGTTCGATGCGTGCCCCTTATCTTCCGCGCATCATCTCGCGGGATGGGCGCCGCTGGAATCTTGTGGGACGACTTACCAGACACGCGGGCCACCACGTGGCGGCTCGGCCTGCCTGTGGGCTTCCGCCTCTGTCTGAGTAGCTCACTTGAATCATTGGCCCGCCCTGCTCTGCGAGTGGTGTGCAGTGCACGCGCGGGGCGCTGTTTCGCCCCTGCCAGATGACAGCCGCCGTAGTGTGTGCACATGTTCAGAAGCTACACGCTTCGCCAGTCGTGAACGCCTCACCGATTTAAGCTGGGCCCACGTATAAAGGAAAGCCGCTGCCTTTGGACTGCACGGAGAGCCCCGCTCGAGTCTGTCGGGCGGGTCCGTTTTTTTTGGGGGGCGGCCTCCGTTGTCTTCAATTGGAAGCCACCCGACTGATCACGGGCCTTCCGCAAAGAAGTCCGCCACTCTGTCCAGTACATCCCTGCGCCGTCAACAAGTCCGCGCAACGCTCTTGGGGGCTTGACTTCGCTGGGCTGCCCCACTGCCTTTCGGCGAGGTTGCGCCTCCTATGTAAGCGCGCGCCTGCTGCTCTGGGCTGGGGTCGCCCGAATTTCCTGGGTTTGCCCTTCGGCGGTCCAGCGCTCGCGCCTCCCTGTGAAGACAGAGGCAAGCGCCCGCCCATGGACGAGGGCAGAGAATTCCAGCCAGCCCCCTCCCCTGTGCGCTTCCCGCTACGATGACACAGCAGCCACACCTCAGACAGCGCATCGAGATTCTTACAGAGCAGCACCAGATGGCTACAAGGATTAATATTGCGCATAAATCTGGTTGGGCAGTGAGCTCGGACGGCATCACTGGACCCGTCGAGCCTCGTGCCTGTGTACTCGCAGGCATGCTGATGGCAATACTGTGGAGAAGCTGGCATCGCTGCGCGCGCTCTTGTTCTTCTACACGTGCAGAGGCTGTCTCGTCCGCATATTTGGCAGCCTGCTCTTCCATCCGATCATTTTTATCCTTCGTCTGCTCCACACGTGTGTTGCCAGCTTTGTCATCTACAGAAATGTAGTTACTTACGCCCGTCGCCGTGTCTTCCGCTCGAGCAGGTCCCGACAGCACGGACTCTTCTCCCGGCGATATCTCCACTACGACATCGTCAGTCAGAAGCGAGGCGAGACCGTCTCTCAACGATGTACTTGTCGCTGTATTTGTACTACCCCTCTGTTGTTGTACTTGTGGTTCTTCACCAGCACGATGATCATGAATATCGTCAATGCGGCTGTCACGACTCGACATCACGACAAAAGGTACCTCTCCTGAGCTACGTGGGGTGCTGGCTCCCGAGCGCCTCCCCTTTGGACAACAAGGAGGTAGCGGTTGCGGAGGAGATGACAACTCTTGCCTTAGAGGAGGTGCCTGTGGTGGCACTACTGCCTGTTCTTGCTGTTGCTGTTGCTGAGGCGCCCTCACACTACTAGTACTAGTTCGAAGATCATGCTTCTCTCTCAGCATCTCCTCATTTTGCATATCACCTCTTCCTGTTCCACCATTTTCCTGCTCTTTCAAAGCGGCAGCTTTTTCGATAGCTTCCTGTATTTTTTTGAACGCGTGTTGGTGTCTAACTTCCTCTACATTTTGGAACCGTGATTGAAAATCCTGTATATGTTCTTGCTGTCCTCCCGAGCCTGACGATATAGACCTTTCTCCATGGTGATTACTAGCTGGAATCGATGCGGAGGTAGAAACCTTCGAGTTCTGTAACGACGAAGCTTCTAGTTGTAATGCTTGCTGCAGTTCTTCTTTTGTCACGACTCCAAGAACTGGGTGATCAATTTTCATGGATGATCCTACATCGTCGATATGCATTTCTTCATCGTAGTGTGTAGCACCAGCAGCAGCAGCAGCATTAGCAGACGTACTCCCAAAAATCCTCGTCTGACCCGCTTTGCGCTCCCTACTCGATGGACGGTCTTGAGGATGATGTTGATCTTGATCTCTAGTATTCTCACCCGCCCCTAAGTGTACTTGGTGCTCTTGATGTAGGTGCTCACCCGAAGATGGTCTCGATGGAGGTTTTTTGGCTGCGGTAGATGTCACTTTGGAGACCATCCAGGGTACCATTGGTGGCAATATCCGAGGTGACCTGCCACGCACTGTGTGCTCACCAGCCGGGGGATGAGGTCCCGACGAACTTAACTGATGACGTCCTTCATCTTCCGGCAGTGGTGCACCTGCTGTACCAGTCATCTTACTTGAAGATGAAGATGACTTTTGCAGTTGGTGGTCACTTCCTCGCGACATAGCTCTAGCAAGCGCACCCATGATGACGCCTCCGCTTCCTTCACTTCGACGACCACGAGGCGAGTCTGAAACGGCTGTTCTCTGTTGAGGCAGGATAGAAGATGCTGGACCTCCTTGTGGGGCTCTTCCGGAAGCAGAACCACTTGAACCCGCTAAAACCTTACTCGGCGAACTAGAAGCAGATTTTGTTTTTCTCCCACGACCCAGTTTCCTAATCAGCGAAGTTGGGAAAAAACCGGACGATCCACCTCCACCTGAAGCTGGAGGAGATGATACCTGGCCTTCCTGATGTTGATGTTCTACTCCGCTACTTGCAGTCGTGCTAGCAGCACCAGCAACAACATGATTTGCACCAAGAACCTGACTTCCACCACTACTTCCTGGTCCGAATGAGCCGGACGTAGATGCATCCTCGCGTGGGGACATATTCACATCTGCATCGAGGAAGTCCCCTTGAGGTCCTCTAGAAGCCGATCCTCTTGTGATCCGCCCACTCATTGGTCTCGGAGGGGGAGGTGAGGAAGGTACGATAGATTTCAGACGTAAGTGCTCATCTTCTACACCTCCTCCTTGTTCAAACGTGGAAGCAACCTGGACGATTGTTCTGCCTGACAGAAGCTGCGGTAAAGAAGTGCCAGTTCTAGTTGCTGTCGCGGGTACAACAGGCTCGTCAACATCTTCGGAACTGTCATTCTGATTATCGTTGCCTTCATCGTCACTCTCGCTTCCACTGAACATATCTTCGATGAGATTCGAGGTTCTGGACACGATTCTAGAAGAGGAGGAGTTTCCTCCTCCTCCTTCTCCTCCACATCCACCTCCTCCACTTGCACTACTTGCATGCTGCTGGGTCGACGTGACATTCTTCACATTGAGTACATCAGGAGAGTGCTGCTGATGCGCATCCATTTTCCTCTTTGCAAGAGGAGCGGTTGGTGATAAGGGGTTTCTCCTGCCTCCTGCTGCATTTTGACTTGAGGACCGTGACCCAATTACTGTGCCACTTGATGTGCTTGGCAGTCTTAGAGGTGCTCCACTCCTGTCATCCACAGTAGTTATATCCACATCTGCTCTAGTGTCTGCAGAATTCTCCCTACTTCTTGTGACAACTGTTTGATGTCCAGCGCCTCTCCTTGCAGTCGTCCCAGAACTCGTCGGGCCACGCCCGGGACTCGCAGTTTTTACCCGCGAACTTCTTGCTCCTGTTGTAGGTTCCGATGATATAATTCCACGTGACCCACGAGACGAGGATAACTCTCGTTCTCCTGCTTTTCCTCCTTCAGTTTCGTTTTCATCATCTCGATCATCTCCTCTGGATCCTAAATAATGCTTGTCGGCGGGCGGCTCAAACCGATATAGAGGATGACGAGTTCGGCGACTTGGAGAGGACATGCCACGTTCGAGAAGTTGACCTTCTTGATGATCATGATGGTCCCCTTGTTGTTGGTCCCCTTGTTGTTGGTCCCCTTGTTGTTGGTCGCCTTGTTGTTGGTCGCCTTGTTGTTGGTCGTAGCAAGTTAGAGGTAGACTAACCAAATCTTCTTCAGCCAGATGATCTCAAACATGATGAGTTCACTCAAAAAAAAGAGTCTGAGTACTGTCTAGTGACAAAGGAAAATCCTAAGCCATAATGGGAAACCAGAAATTGGATTCGGAGAATTTCGCAAAATAGTTTTCGCAAACTTTTGGTCGACAAACCTGGTAGTAAGTATTTCGGTTTCGTCTCTCTTTTGACTTTCCATGACAGGTAAGCAAGGTTCGAATAGTGTTCCTCCTTCTAGGTCTCCAGATGGGTTTCCAGAGCAACTACCCCAGCGGATGTGAGGCGGTAATGTCGAAGTTTGTCGATTCTGCTCGCTCCCGTAAAGTGTGGGTGCGGATGTGATTTGGCTTTGCTCGCTGGTACTACCGTAAAACAGTGAGTCTTGTTCACTGCCGTATAAAGAAGGGAAGGTTGGACGTGAGTCCTGCGAAGGGTGTTCCTCGGGACCATCTGCTCAGGAGTTAGAAATTCCCTGTAAGGCTAAGTAGACTAAGACCAAGTTGACTCACCTTTCAAAGCATCTGGATGTTCCTGCCTCCTCCTAATAGGACAGATGATACAAGAACTTCCCAGATGCGGAAGATGCTTCTTCATCATCATCTTCAGGTATAACTAAGATATTAAATTTGATGCTCCAAAACCAAATCCGAAACAAGAATAAGCCTTAACATGCATGAATGAGCGCCCTGGTCGTGATGCAGATGGTTGCTCGCTGCTCCAGACACTATTTTAGAGAGTTGCCTTCAGAACATCTTTGGCCTATTTTCGCCTTGAAAAGGAACCAAGGATGGTCGTGAGGGATGTAATATGGAAACCCTTAACTATTGCCAACTATTACCCTCAACGAATCAGTCGGGGAGGGTGGTCGAACTGCGCTTGGTGGACTATTTTTACTAGAAGTACTTGACACATCCGTTTGTTCTGCTCCACCAAAGACGTCTGCCCCGCCACCTTCCCTTCCGACTTTTGGTAGAACTAATTCCGACTTCTTGGCTTGACCTCCACCTGACCCTGACGAGCCTGCTCCTGTCGAAGGAGCACTCGGTTCTGAGGATAGGGGTTGCAATTTTCGCTTTTCCCGAGAAGCAGGCCTAGACGGCCGCCCAGGCAGGTTCTTCGAAGAGGATGCTGGTCCCGGGGTGGGAGAACTTGTATTAGATGAAAAGACGATCAACTCTACACCTAGTACTACTACTACCTGATCATGTGCCACTAATTAATATATTGCTGCATGGGATAAGCCTAAGTCTTAGAGGTAAAAACTAACCGGTTGTTTTTAAATAATATAGTCAATTCGTCCACCGCCGATCATAATAGCTGCCCCAGTTGCTCTAGCAGTTAATACTGCACCAGTAGGTCTGGAAGGGCCACGTCGCTTGTCTTCTGACGATGGTCCACGGCTCGCCTGAACCAACAACTCAAAGTCGAGCGCAGCTAAAGCGAAGAAATAGGTCAGTACGCCTGACAGCAGGTGGATGCTGGAAATCTTCTTTTTCCTCTTCGAGCTACAACTAGATCTCCACCGTCTAGAAGATGACCTTCCATTGCTAGTAGAAGGCCTCATCTTACAGGTCGTGCAGCAAAAGCGTTCGATGTGTAGAAGGTAGACCTTTGTCATTTCTTGTTACGAATCAGATCGATTGACGTCGAAAGCAGAAGAAGACGATGAAGGAAGAAGAGGAATCTAATGGCGTGAAGGAATAAAAAGACGATCCACGCAAGTGCCTAGTGCTGGTCCAATGTTCCAACAACTTGCATGGTCTCGGATGCATGTCCTCCTGTCCAGTTTCTGTGTATCCTTATGCATGTAACTAATCGAGTAACCTCCTGGGAGTCATTCGATCCCTGCCGCTGTGCTACTTGTTTGGTTGTTCACTGGTACAACAAGAATAACAACAACAACAACAGCAAGAGCAAGAAAATAAAAAATCTGTGGCTCTATCCCGTCTCCGTTTTCCTTATCGGTTTTCAAAACTTGTCTCTACTTCACATAATTTCTAACAACTATAGAAAAAACCAATTGTTCTTCTATTAGAATAGAGTCCCAAAAGTCTCATCCACATCCACTACAATCAAGAATGATCTAAGAAATCAGTACTGTTAAAAAATAAGTAACCTCCATTCATTCATTCATTCATTCAGTACTCAACCTCCTGTTGATCAGTACTGTCAACAAGTAGTAGTGTCTACGTCTTCTAGCAAGTACTACTAGAGGAAATCTTCATTATCTGTTTCCAAATTCATTTGGTCTAGAAGCTCCTCGTATAGGAGCGATCATAAGAACAACTCAAGCTAATGAAAAGAAAAAGAAATTATATATGTTTGAGTTTCAAGAAATTATTTCGTAGTTGTAGTACAAGCACGTGCACGCTTCTATTTCTCTAACCGCTAATGATATTTTATTTAACCTAAAAACCTTAGAACAAGAACATCCTCATCCTCTTCAGTATCAACACGACGAAAGACGTAGCAGACACACCGGTTTCTTGACCTTTATATCGTCCATGAGAACACACAGACCAAGAGCGCAAAATGCTCAGGAAGCAAGCATTGCATCGGTATCAGTGGTCTAGTACACAAAAGAAACCATCAAAGAGGTTGTCGTGTTGAGGAGCCACGGTTCATCTTCATGCTGTTACGTATGTCAAGCTTAAGGACAACCATCAGCACAGTAGAAGTGTTCTTCATCATGAACATGTATTTGAACCGAGGAAGACCAAGACCTTTACATCCTCTCCATAAAACGGGCGCCACGTAATGATGAGGCACTGAGAGAGCGTAGTGCTTCACCCACGTAGTGATGAGGTAGACCGTGGAAGACCAAAGGACTTAATCTTCTCAAACGAACAAAACGCTCCACGTGTTCATCTATTGGTACTTAGCTTGTCCCGACTTTTTGTAGAATCTAGTCAGCATCTCCTCACATGTTATCTTTTTCCCTCCAGCACTGGAGGCAGGCACTACCTCTTTGTCTTTCCCAGTAGATGAAGCAGCAGTACAAGTCTTACTGGTAGCTTCACTGGTAGTTTCCTCATGTTGTTGATGAAACACAGTCGGATCCAAAACGAAATTCAACGCCGGTCGCAAGAAATATGGCGAACTGTAGCGTTCACTTGAACTCAGATTTACCACACGATGAACCGTCGCTTTCACCCGGTTACTGGTCCACGTGCTCAGCATCGACCCAAAATTAACCACAAACGCGTGTTTTATCGGTGGAACGTGCACCCAAAGGTTCTTCTTGCTGTTCAGAACTTGCAAACCGCCTGTCATGTCCTGGGCAAGCAAGGTTAGGAAGCCGTAGTCCACGTGCGCTCCGATTGAGACTTCTCGGTGATAATCCGTTAGAGGTGGGTAGTGGAGGACTCGGTGATGACAAACCGCATCTTTGCACGAGTTGAGGAGGATGTTTTTCTCCTCTTCGATGTTTTGGTCGGACGGCTCTTGAGCCGAGGACGAGGGGGGACGGCGATCCTGGTGGAGGTGTTGTTTTTCGCGACTAGAAGTGAAGTAGAACTAGAACGGTTGTATATGATCTTACTATCTATTAGTGAAGAGTTGTAGGTCATTCATCGATCTTTTTCTCGCTATCTTCCTCTGTGTCGTTTTTTTCTTATTTGGTCATCGTCTAGGAAATCAGCTTTCGAGTAGTTAGAGGAAAGCATCCAAAAATAAAGGATTACCTGCAAATCCAATGCTTGCCCGATCAAGTCCATCAGTCTCAGTCCCAGGCCAAGTGCTTGCTTTTGATATGCTCTCATTACTTGGGAAAATCCAGGCACTTCCTCATCCGGCATTTTGGTGTCTTCTGTCCATCTGAAGGCTGTATCACTCTGCTGATTTGACGCTTTCACAGCTGCTGCAAGATTGCCGTTCATATCAAAACCTTCTTTGGAATCGACTTTTTTCTTCGTACGGCTCGTTTTAGCGGCTGTTGAGGTACTTGTAGTACCTGCACTGGTGCTATTGGCATCCATATTCTCCACGTCATCTTCATACACATCATCCAGATTCTCCATTCCCTTGCCAAAATAGCCAGCCATCGCACCACCAGTGCTGTCCATGAGATACTTCTCTTTGGCTGGCTGAGAGTGATCGAAAAAGTTCTTAGCCTTCCCGAAAACAGCATCCATCAAGAGTGGATCCACGCCATGATTTATGACGTAGAAAAAGCCGATTTCTTCCGCAGCTCGTCTTAATTGGGGTAAAAGTTGCTCTTTGAGAAGAGTGGAGGTTGAAGTGGAAGCAGCTTTGGGTTTGCCAATCTTTTCGTTAGTACTCGTCGAAACACCAGGGTTGGCAATTCTGTCATAGATTCTGTTACTCGAATCTGGTGGCCGATCGTCCAAGTTCAAGTCGATGATTGGGATAGAATCGAAGTCGAACGGGTTGACAATTGTCGCTTTCAGCTCCTCAGGTAGATCGCCAGGTTGAACCGGAACAATGTTTCTAAACATAGAACTATCGATAGCGCCTTCCACTGCAATAGTGTTGGATGATATTCCCTTACGTAAGCGTCGCCCGCTCACGGCATCCTTAGGAACCTCGATTAAGACATCGGGGCGGCGACGAAGGCCTGTAGTGTGCGCCGTATAGGACAAGAGCAGGAGCATTGACTCTCGTATTTTCACCAAACTATTTTACTTGTAGGTCACATAGAGAAAATTATGCCCAGGTAATTCTCACGAGTTGCGAAAAACAAATTCTACAACTTCATCAAAATCTATGTATTGTACCTTCAATCTTCTCCGCACTCGATGCAAAAAAAATTGCTCCCCCAGCTCCTGCTCCTCGCGGTGTCCCTTCCACCGACGAGTCAGTACTCCTGCTCATGGTGCCTGGTGTCGATGCAGTCTTACGGAGTCCACCACCCTGTGCGCCAGGTAATAAGGCCCCATCCTTCCAAATGCCCACTAGGTTCTCGAAAAAGGTCGCGTGCACCAACTTCCCGCCACTCGGCACGTCTTCAGGCGCAATGTCTTCGTAAAGGTCGTCGTTTTCTATCACCGACATCAACAGGGAATCATGTTGCGGAGTACTGCACGACTGTGGCGCTTTCGTAGGAGTAGTTGTCTGGTGCTGTTGCATCAAAGTCGATGTTGCGCTGGAGTGGCATACTGCTGAGGAGAGGAGACTATCTTCATGTCGTTCTTGCAGTGCTCCTCGTGCTTTCTCTTTACTCCCAGGCACACTTGTACCGGGTTCACAGCTGAGGAAGCTGATCCCGGTCTCTCCTCTGGCAATGTCGGCGTCGGGCATGGTAGCGACACTCCGCGACAGGCTATGATCTTCCACCTCTATTTCTGTGCCGGTCAACATATCGACATTTGTTCGGACGGATACTGAGAACTCGTCTTGATGTTGACGAGGAGTGTCAACACCAGCGGCCGCTGTGGTCCCTAAAAAACTAGGAAGACTGTTCGAGCCACGAAGTTGTGAGCGAGATAGTTGAACTGGCGTAGTACTTGAGGTTCCATCTTCTAATACTGATGTTACTGCTCCTGGTGCTGGACCAACAATACTAGAGAGGCCTACTACAGAAGCAGTCAATCCTGCCGATAGAGATAGTGCTGCCAACCTTGATTCTTCATAGTCGCGCCGTCTGTACAACTTGTGTCCCCGCGTAAAACCAGGTCTGTTGTCCACTATGTGTGTGATTGAATCCAATGGTACCGTGAATTCGGTACTAGTAGTGGCTTCTTGCATCAGCCAGTTTTTGGAAGATAAGTCTGGCAAGGCCGAAAACTGTAGATGCTGACGGCCCCTGTCCTCTCCTGTGTGTTCTGGGTTTGGGGAAGGCCATGCTGATATTAGCTGCGACACCATCTGTGGATCGATGTAGGCTAGAAGTTCTTGGCCTTCTGGCCATTTTGGAAGAGGCAAGGGCTTGCGTGGAGGTTGAGGAATCTGTAGTTAGAGGCTGCCCAATTGCATTCTTCAGAACATCCTGGACCTATTTCCCCCTTGAAAAGGAGCCAAGGATGGTAGTGAGGGATGTAATTCGGAAGCCCTTAATGTAGAGCATGCGCTCGTGAGCTGCTAGATGAATGCTTCAGCATTGGCGACTTTTGTAATCGTTTGGCAGGGGAAAAAGAATGCTGTTCTTGCTGCTGTCCTTGCTCTCGTATTTTCTTAATTGCATGCGCACTGGAGCTAGAGGAAGAGCTAGTTGTCGAAGCAACATCATCTGCCAAGAGAGGCGGAGATGAAGGTAATGCTGCAGCGCCAGCACTGCCTTTTGCTGCTATATTACTAGCAGGAATCTCAACATTCTGGTTATGATGCACAAGCTTCGCACAATAAAGACGCACATCGCGACTGTTGACTGTGATGAAACTCGTACTACTACTAGAAGGTCCGCCATGATAACTAAGACTACTAGAAGCACTAACAGCTGCTGGCATGCTTGGCAGAACATTACTAGTACTTGTACTAGTCGCAGCAGCGTCATCTTGTTTTCCTTTTCCAGGCGACGAAGATGACGGCCCTGAAGCACTTGTGCCAACTACCACACCACCGGGAGCTGCGCCACCGCTAGCAAACGAGTACTGCGTACTCGTATTACTTGATGTTGCTTTCACCATATCCTGAGACGATGACTTGTATCGACTCGCAGGCATACCCAAAAACCACAAAGCGCCTTGGACGTCCACGCTCGACAGCGTAACCGCCGCAGTAGGGGTTAACAAAGGACCCATTGCTGGAGGACTTGGAGTTGGTGGAGCTACATCAAGCGTGTCCCGTGTCTTGGCTTCGAATCGCTTAGCAGCGGCGGCCAACGCAGCTTCTTGGTCGGAGAGAGAAAACATCTTGTTTTGCGTCGTGCTGGGCTATTGACGATTCAGGGATGTTCCGCAGCAGAAACTCAATCTGAATCTCGGAAAATGATCGAACGAAGATATTGAAAAAATCACTTGCGGAAAATTCGATTTCTATTTGAATTCAAAGTTTGAGAACAAGCAAGAACGCAACATATGTTTTTTTGGTGGAAAGATAAATCATGATTCAATTATTGGAATAAGGATTCGTCGGGGAAAAACCAAATTTTTTTGGTCAAGTGTAGTTCTTGAGGAGACAAGGACTTACTTCCTTGGAAGAGAATGGGGAGAAATTCTGCATAAGTAATTAGGGGTAATGGTAACATCATCTTAAATTTCTTTTCGTCTTCTGCAGGGCGAAGCAACAGCTGGCACAGTGCTGAACTATCGCCTATCCTCGTTCACTCGGTGGAACACATCTCTCCTCACATCACTTGTTCGTCGTAGTTATATGACTTCTCAGTGTTATTTGATTTAATATTTATAGTGATACACTATTCAGCTAGTCGTAGTCCTCGTAGCAGCAACGAAAGAATCCCTTTGGCGTTGTTTCTCCGTGGAAGTTGATTGATCGTCGTGAAAATTCATCGAATGAGCGACCGCAAAAACAAACAAAAAACGTTGAATGAATTATCACTCTTTACTTGCAGGCGAACGTGATGCTTCTAACCTCCACATTATCAGAACTTCTCCTGCACATCGTTCCACGTTGATGCCCATCCGATAGTGCGCAGAACGCTATCAGCGAAAAATTTCGGAGGATCGGCTGTGCATGCAATCTCCTTACTAGCAAACGTGCGCATACGCATTTCTCTTAGGTAGAGATGTAGTGGGACATTAGCAGATGTTGACGTTGACCCCGAAGGCGATCTATCATTTTGCAGCGCGGTTGTCGTCAGTCCGTCCAGTGATGTTTCATCTTCATTCTCCCCGTCCTCGAGCATGCTTCTTCCAGTACTAGTTGAATCGTTGTGATCTTTCCGAATGAAACAGTCGTTTTCATCCTGTCCTTCTAAATCCGTAAAAGCGAACGCTTTACGAACTTCTCTGTCGTCCTCGGATTCTATGTACCAAGATGGTTTCTGACCGCCAAACGGTCCTTCAGCACGTTTCTTCGCTACTAGGAAATTGACCCTTCGTTTCGCACGCTTGATTCGCAATTGGCTTTTGTAATCCTGGGGTTCGTCGTCGAAGGGATCACCGTCTTTCTCGGTTATGCTGTCATTTGGATCTGAAGCGGATATAGACTTGATTGGAGCTCCTGTGGAATCGAAAAACAATCTTGGCTTGTTGTTCTTGGTCGTTGTCGTTGTTCCACCTCCCTCGTCAGAAGAAGATGAATGATCTCCTCTCTGACTCGAAGTAAATCTTGTCTGCTGTTCTAATTTCTGTGCGTTATGTTCAGCCGCAGACAACAACCGTTCGCGTGCCTCATACTCCTGTTTGTGCCTCTCGCTTTTGAATCTCCTCCTTTTATGTTTACGACCTTTGCCACCACTAGCGTCCGAAGATGAGTCAGACGAGTTTTTTCCTCGTTTTTTAAGCATTTGCTCAACTGCCATATACCTATCGTGCATGGAACGGAGTAAGTGTGGGCTTTCTTGATTGCCATGGAGTTCAGGCCACTGCTTCAAGATATGCTGATGTTGTGAACCTTGTCCTGACGCACCAGCGGTGTTTGATAGAAGCTTATCTGGTTCAAGGAGAGCGACTCCAGCGCTCGGCAGGGAAGCATTCTTCGAAGTAGCATCACGATCACCACCTTCAATGAAGTTACCCTTGCTTTTTCTTTTCTTGTTGAAGATGTCAAAAGAGTTTGATGCGGCCGTACTCGAGTATTTTGTCGTCTGCGGTCTCCGCCCACTTCGGAATTGTCCCTCAAGTTGGTCTACAGGAGGAGGAGCACGTGCTTCACTAGCAGTTTCCGTCCCTCGCGCCCTCGGCTGTCGAATGCTTAATGACCCAATACCGCCTACTTTTCTCCGCTCAAGTTCTGCCACTTCGCGGGACAACTTACTGGCAGATACTGCCGGTGTTTGACGGGGAGCCTTTGTTGTAGGAGCTGTAATAGATCCTTCCCTCGGATTAACGTCATTTCTTGACGATCTATGATCATTCGACGTTCCCGCTAGCGTTCCCAATTGTCTCGCAAGCATTTTCTGTTCGAATCCCTCCAAATCTTTGACCCATCTCTCTGCTTCTGCTCTAAAATCCCTACATCGCAATGCTCTATCATACACTGCGTCGCCTAAAACCGTCATACCCAGACCGAAGGCAAGGGATGCGCGGAGAAGATGCATTTCAGCGCTTTGGGGTATCAACTCCACTAGCGAAAAACAACGACTACTACGGTAACGAAGTTGTGATGAAGGTGAAGACGAAGTGTAGTTGTCCGGCTTCTCAACATTTGCATCCTTATAATTTTGACACTTTTGACTTATTTGACTACTAGTACCAACATCGTCATCATTTTCCTCCAGCCCCGCATTAGCGCTTTTACGCCGAAAGCTCGAGCTACGCCAGATCTCTCGATAGTGGACTACAGCTGTCTGCACGCCCTCCTTTGGCGCGTCTGGAGGAGCGGGGATGAAAATCTTCAAGATCGGATCTAACTGTAAGGGTAACCGCAAGACTGCAAAGTTTCCACTCCGTTTTCGATCCAGTAGCGTGCCTCCAGGTGAAGTTGCCGCTCTTAGTTCTGAGGACCCAATAGTTGTATTTCGAGGTTTAATATCATCGCGATTTTTATCCCTTGTTCGTTGCAATCCATTTCCATTTCTGTTATTTGAAGTCGGTTGCGAGTGTAAAATCGCTAGGTATCTTTGTTGCGAAAAGGTGCGGTTTTGAATCAGTTCCTTAGCTTGCGAATTAGCGTGTTGATTTCGAGAAACGACCATCAAACCAGCCATGTCCTGCGGTAAACGATGAACAGGGAAAAGCTCTTCACCCTCTTCAAGAGGAGGCAAGGTTGTGCTTGTGCTAGATTCATTTCCATCTTCCTCATCCTCCTCTTCATCTATGAAGTCATCTTTGTTGAGGACCAATGCTTCTTTTGCATTCGCCATTTCCTCTTCGTCATTCTTGTCGGAGATGGTGCGATCATCTTCTTGTTCTACTCCAGGATGGAGATCCTCATCCTTAGTCGTTGTACACTCTTGCTCTACAATCGTCTCCACTGCGCTCAGTAGTTCTTTGTCCCGTTCACGCTGCTTCTCGACTTCTTTCCGACTTGCTCCAGGAAGTCTGCTACTCGTTGTTAAGAACGAAGAGCCTTCAACATTTTGTTGAGTGAGGCTCTCAGAATTTTTCTCAGCAACAACGCTCGTGGCTTCCTCGTCTTTCCCACTATTCCGGTGTTTTATTTTCCCCTGTTTCGCCAGCGACTCTACTTCCTGCATCCGCCTACGGAGAAACCATTCTAGGAGGTGTCGTAAGCTGCCCTCTTTACCGTATGTTCCAGCTCCCCAGGGCATGCCAGCTGGTTTGTTCACTACTAGAAAATCAGTATCCTGATAGATCACGCGTGAACATAAGAAACGCAACTTATCGTCGGCCGAAGCCCACTGCCATGGAGATAAAGCATCAGTAGAGGCTTGTCCTTGGATATGTTCCGAGGAGGAGGAGGAGGAGGGGAGGGAAGACTTAAACATATTTGAAGAAGAAGAGGATGCTGTTGTTTTTGGTGACTGACTGGCAGATGATGTCGACGCGGTACCAGTATCAGATGAGAAATCCGGTTTTTGTCGTGTGGTGGTAGTGACCTCATCATTACTGGTACTAGCGGAATCTACTTGTCCTACCTCGCCCTCTACTGCACGAAAACCATCTACGCTTTCAACACTCGACGTAGGCTTCCTATCCGCTGTCTTCATCCGCACATCGAGCTCTTCTTGCAGGTCAATCACTTCCGGTGACGGCAATAACGCTCGAAACGACGCGTGAACTGCACTCCGATTGTAAATGATAGTCTCTCCTGCTCTAAGAATGTGATCGCCCCTGACTTTTTTTCTCTTCACCTTCCTGATATGCGCATGCTGATGCCCTTTCCACAAATTTGAGTTGTTTCCCTTTGGTGCTTTAGGGGAAGAAGAAGTTTGCGTCTCATCGTTGGAGACTACATTCTTTTCCAAGTAGCGATTCCTCTTCCGCTCCATGACACTCGCTGCTGCGGCGTTTCTCAACTCTAGTTTCTCCCTTGCTACACGCATCAAGTCATCCAAATTTTCAACATCGCCTACTTGTTCGTGCGAACCATCAGAAACAGAATTTGGACTATTTTGAGTGTTGTTACCAATAGCACTTCCAGCTCCACCACAGGTATCAGTCGCGTCTCGTCTTCCATTTCCGCTTCCACCACCTTGACCTTGTCCTCGTTGGAACAGTTTATTCACCTGGTCCATCGGCAGAGGTAAACGGACTGGGGCAGTTGGCGGTACCACCCAAACACGCTTTCGGGCATAGAGATGTTGTATTTGTCGCCAGTCTCGAGTAACATGCTTGCGCATCCATGTCGTAAGCTTTTCTCCCGCAAATTTTTGGTCTACTTCATAGGTTGAATAAGAGGAAACGACTGCCATTGGTGATGAGGACGTGGAAGAAGAAGCGGATGAAGCACTGCTTCGACTACTAGCGAACCCTGAAGTCTCTTTCAACCTGGAAGAGGAGCTCGATGTTGACGCCGAGGAAGCAGATGATGCCGCAGTACTCCCAAAAGCAGCCATGCCCAGCAGCTCAGGGCGGTTTCCAACTTCTGCGCCGAGTATCGCAGCATTGCCACGCATAGATTCTTTTCCCTGCCACTTTTCTATTTCAGACGCTAGTCTTGACGACGAAGCAGCACTTGTCGACGCGAACAAGCACCTAGAAATTTTCGCTGTCGTCTCCTTCCTCGTCCACTGGATGCTAAGTCCTCCTCTGATTGCAAGCGCCCCATTGTTGGCACCGCGATATGCGGAACGTGAGGACATGCTGGAATGACAAGGAGCTTTTGCTGGTTACTGATGGGTGTTGACGATCAGCCACCACCCACTCATCACGTCTTTGTTGTGTGCATCATCGTCATAATGTGGCTCGAATCTGAAATGAAATTTGAATTTGGTGCCTTTCCAAAAATTTTTGATTTTATCTCTTAATCAATCATGTTAATTCTTATAGATTACATCCAACATCAACTATATCTAAATTCTGAATTCTTTTTCAAATTCTAGAATCTACTTGGAAATTCGAATCGAAAATTAAAATTATTAGGAATATCCTACTTCGTCCGGTGAAACAACTAACGACACTCATACTAACAGAACAAGACTCAAGAACTATTGAACAAAGATAAAAGTTAAAAAAAATCCACAAAATGCTCAAACAATTCATTTCGAATTTTCAAAATTTTTGATTTTATCAACTTTTATTCAGATTCATTTTCTGCTGAAGAGGTAGCAAATGAAATCTCTTATGAAATATATTTTCGAAAAAGCTTCGACTTCTCATTAAAAATTTGATGTGACTGCTTACATGTATAATTGCAACTAATATCCATCCACTACGAGTCTGTATTTGGCCTACACGATCCTAGTGGAGGCTTCTACAATCTGATGCTGACTTCTATCGAAATTCAAATTCTAGATATAGATTTCCTAAGTAATGCGCGCTAACACACACACGCACACCCTGAAATCAAAATACGCATCATTATTGTGTAGCACGCATGCACACTGGGTATTTCTTCATATCACAGAAAATGCGTCAAGAAACATCACTGATGGTCCGAGTTCAGGTTGGAGGATCGACCGTATCCTTCACTGAAGCGTATCATCTTTACTTAGCTGAGACAAAGTCGAGGCAGTGATCAGCTGATGTGCATCCAATTACTTAGTAAGCAGGAAGCGTCGCTAATCTTGCACATGCAGTGGGCGATTGGTGGTAAAGGTAATGGAGGCGTGCTCGAGACTCAAAAGCGGTAAACAAGGCCGTAGAGTGGGGCATCTACGAGCTAGGAGTGGCACATCTTCGAGCTAGGGAGTGGCACATCTTCGAGCTAGCACATGCAAGCGAAAAGGCAGAACTCCTCGTGCCAGAAACTCCGGTGCAGGTGAGGGAGACAGAAACTTTAGTATCGCTATAATCGACTGGAAAAAGAAGGTCGTGCCATGTTGATACAAGCGACTGGCGCAACAAGCGAAGGCATATCGAATGTACATTACAGACATACTATCGAATGTACATTACAGACAGACGAGGGCGGCGCAGTGGAAAGAGAAGCGAAAAGCAGGCGCTTGGTGCTCCGTTTGATCAGTACGTTGTGCATTAAGCAAGGATCCGATGATCTTGGTGGCAGAAAACAACGCAAACGACCACGACGATTACATCTGTTGTGTTACATAGAACAGCATCGTCTCACGCGGAAAGACTCTTAGTAATACGTACCTGTCTCCCAGGACCAGTCAGCATACATGATAGGTCAAGCTCATGTGCAACATGCCCATGCTCTTCCTCTTCTCGTGGTACAACATCTACATATAACCTCTTCTTCATCATTGAGCAGCTTATCGTTATCCGTTCTTGTGAGGTCGATTCATTTTTACCAAGAATTCGACATGCAACTTCCTCCTCAGACTCATTCATTCATTCATGAGTCTCCAACGCAGCCATTTTTTTTTTTTGTATGCCAAGAACGCCGGAAGGGTGATCCCAGTGTTGTCCGGTGTACCTGCCGGCGACGGGTGGAGTGCATTAACCTCCTTATACTACCGCGCACTAATTGCCTACGAACCCGTCGGTTATAAAATGGAGAAAAATCTAGGGGCAAAGGAGGTGATTAATTAATTACTTACTATAAACCTCCACCGGCTGCCAACCGTCCCGCTCTTATGCGCCGGCCTACAAGGCACGAGGGCAGGGCCGCCAACCCTGCTTGCTCTTGACTAATGCGCAGTCATCTGACAAGTGAACAACTAGGCATAAATGTCTACTGGCCTAACGCCCTAAGTACAACACGTTTTTCGTTGTTGGGAGTGCACTAGCCTAGTTTTTCTTATCTTCACTGCTTCGCGCTCCCTCCTTCGCCCCGTGCACCATCCTCAACCGCGTCCCGCTTCCGCAATCGCCATAAAATAACCAAAAAGAAAAACAGAAACCGGAGGGCTTACTCCAACCAAAGGGGCTACCCTATGCCTGAGAGCCACAACTCTGCTAAGAGCGGGCGGGAGATAAAAGGATCGGCGAGGGAGAGCGATGGGACGCTCTCCCCCTTTTAATTAAGCTGCGAGCAAGATCCGAAATTTTTCTATTCTTCCAGCCTTCTGCTTTTTGTCCGTAAACAAGTCCTCGCCCCTCGAGTCACACTTAACAGATGTCGGGAACACTCTAGACCCCAATCAGTTTCCAAAAGGCGACTGGCGGGTCACCAAAATGCGTAAAAGTCACCCAGGTAGGTAGGTGGCATTTATGCACTTCGGTTTCACTCGACTCTCAACAGACTCTACCAATGATGTCAGTCAGAGCCACGCATCTAGACACGGGATTGAGGAGAGTGAAAATCAAAGGCGGCGAGCCAATTGCGGAATTCAGCTCCCCTAACAACTGCTCATTTGAACGAAACCTCCACGATAAGGCTGCAAACAACCTAGAAACTAGGTGGAGTCGCCTTCAATACATCATGGTCAAGAAGTTTTAAGTCGTCATTCGAGAATCGAATAGGGACTCTACAACATATACATTGATGTTATGAAGGAATCGGAAAACACTAAAAGGTCTAAAATACAGAAAATCACATGACCGTCCAGTTACGATAGATGAAGACACATGGGACGCTAAATACTGACAGAATCGTCACACTTTCGAGTTCCTATTCCTTCATATTTTCAACATTGATGCTGATGCTCTAAAACTAAAACCATTATCAATATCATGCTTGTTTCTGTTTGGTTCTCATTCTCCACATACATTACTTATGCACACACGTCGTGGTTATGCATCGAAGGATCGGTAAACCTCGCTGTTCAATATCTACGAAGACACCAAGAATGTTCACATTCTGTTCAATCTAAAACATCATTATAATGTATAGCTTCATCTTTTTTACTCTATCTAAAAGCTTTTGTAGGTACAAGTGACGGGGGATGCCCAAAAAGACTTGGTTGATAACTAAAAAAAGGGCTTGACTAGGAGAACAATTCAAACTCTGCTGCAATTGCAACTACTACTAGTAGCGACACTACAACTCATAGAAGATACTACTTCAGTGATTTGTGAGTGGACCAGCATGCTCTAATCGATACGAATAATGCTAGCCACAATTTCGAAACGTCCTACTTTGTAAAAAGCACCTAAAAATATTAATATCCACATTCTTCTATCATGATACACTAATATATTATACTTCAACAACTTCTTTCTTCAACTGCATAACTTTCCGGCAAAAGCAAAAGCATAACCATAAGGCAGGTTGATCGTGATCTACTTCGTGAAGACAGGCTTGATAATAGAATGTGCTTCATCAACAGCATCTAGATCTAGTGATGGTAGCACTCTTCGTGCTGCTGAAGATGACCCGAGTTACAACAATTGTTCTCTCTCAGCATGACTTAGAAGGGTGGATGAACTAGGAAGTCAACGTCTTCTGGTCGAACAAATCCCGCTAGCGTGGACTCCTCTTGTAGCACTGCGCGTTCGTCGGCGGATAAAGCGAAGGATAACCACCGCTCGATCTTGCCTTGACCTTTTTGGTTGTTTATTGTAGTTCTTGTAGGTGTTTGTTGATAGATCAGTGTAGTAGGTGGAAGATCAAGCTGGGGGTGGCGTAAAGAACGTCCTAGATCAACATTTCATTTTTGCGACAGAAACAGAAGCTAAAGCTAAGCCCTAAGTTTGTCTTCCACGCCCAAGACCATCTACTTCAATTTTCGTCCTACCACGACGAGGAGCGAAAATTATATATAAGTTGTTAGAGTGATGCTTACTTTGAAAACTTCAGAAAAAGTAGTACGATTTTCCCTTGGCTCGCAGTAAGAGGCTGGCTTCATAAGAATTCCGAACCCTTGTAAATGCGTATTGGCTTCCGCTACCCAAGCTCGGAAATCCTTGTCCCACGCTTCTCTGTTGCCTTTCCTTCGTCAGATTAGAAGCAAGAGATTCTCTTTTCAGGTGTGATAACAACAACACTTTTTTTGTTTGTCATGTTCGTGCCCCTGATATCGCCTTTCGTGACGACATGACTTTTTTTTGTTTCACCATCACCTTTGATAGTCACCGATAGATAATAAAGTAGCCGCGTAGAGCGAAGTACCAGAAAATTGTAGGCGTGAGTGAGATTTTGATTTTTCGGAAGAAGATGATACAGATAATAAGAAGCGTCAAGGTCCTCGAGATCCACGATCCGTTCATAACAAAAGAATTTGGCTCACCTGGCCCGGAAAATGCTTCCTGAGAGAGAATTGATCCTTATGATGGATGAGAAAAAACTCTCTATAAAAAACTCTCTATAGACAGCCTGGTCGAAAAAACTCTCTATAAAAAACTCTAGTACTGCTGCAGTGTTCGCAAGCCACCAACTATAGTGGCCCACGTATCTTTTGGTACGCCTTTGTGCCTCAACGCCTTTGGCGGCTGCAGAACATCCATCTCCCTGAGACCTGATGAATGAATTAGTGAGAGCCTGTGCCTGAATTATGAATGTTTATCATCATGTTGGTGGATACCGATACTTGATTTCTAATCTAAGTATCTATCGTTACGAACATCTCCTAATCCAAGTTAGTATTATACTATACTATAATATAGGTACCATACCAGGATGCGCTCCAAACAGTGTGGTGCTGCTAGTTTGTAAGACTATACCAGGATGCGCTCCAAACAGTGTGCTGCTAGTTTGTAAGACGATGTTGAGACGCACGACTTTTCCCGTATGATCAGGTATGGATCTTGGTGGTGTGTGTATCAGACTCGAACCACTACAACATATTCCGCTATTATACTCTACCCTTCGTGGCCCCATAGTCGCGTAGCTCTTCATACTTTCTACCTGTGTTGTTCTTGTTGAGGAGTGAATGCTGAAGTTGTCATCATGGGAACAACTTTTATGGAGGAGGTGTGATTAGATTTTTCAGAATTGATTGATTGATTGATTGATTGATTGATTGATGTGCCTGGCAAGAGGTACTAGATCACAATCTCAATGTACTGGAGTGGTACTGATGAATACCTGCACAACCGAAACCCGACTTTGAAACGAAACGTTCCTGTTTGGCGTGCTTTTCCGCGATGCTGGTGATGCGAGGGCTGACTTTATCCGTATTGGGGTACCACTGTCGGACTTCTCCACGTCGGCATTCAACAGGAGCACAGCTTTTGAGCCAGGGTGTGGTGGAGGCCTGGATGAGAATTTTGAATTTTTTCTGATGAGAAGTGGTCGTGAACAGATAGAAAAACTTCTATGTTGCTCCTGAGATTGTGCATTTGTGACTGATTCTACTAGGCTAACACACTCCTCATCATCAAAAATTACGTTCTTGGATCCAATTCTTTGCCCGTTTCTGGGTCTTTTATACGTACACTGCGCGCTACAGATGAAGCCCCTCGTGCTGTCTGCGCCGCCGACTCAACCAACTTTAGAAGCGGACTTTTATTTTTCCTTCTACCACGATTTTCCTTATAAGTGCCATGATTTTCGGATGGGTTCGGGATAGGATGGATCGGATGGACTTCCCACCATTTCGAGTAGGATTGGAAGAATCAGGAAGGTCCATCCGATCCATCCAAGTCCATCCTACATAAGTTCTATCAACTAACTTTAGAAGCGGAGGTTGCCGTAACAAGTGGACGTGCTCATCAACCGATGCACCTGGTGAAGTTGAAGAAGTCGCTCCACCGTGCTGTTGCGGTCGTTTGGTCGCCAATTTATTTGTGCCGCCATCTTTTCCTGGCGCTGAAGCATCTTTCGTTGAGTCTTCTTGGCCGCGGGGTGCTTCCTCTTCTGGATCATCTTTGGCATTAGAAGTGATGCAGATGGTGCGTACGTACACCTAGCATAGGATAGGAGTTAGCTCACTCAAAACAAAGGAGCGAGCGTTCGGGGCCATTGAAGTGCCCAAAAGAGGAGGGAACAAGGGCTATAACTTTGTTCCCTATCTTCTCCGCTAGAAGAAATGTAACCAATCGTCCTCCATAACTATCTCAGCTAGCTCCGCATTCACGGCGTCTAGCGTATTCCGGAGTGCGTTCACGTTCACATATGACTTTCTGTTCTGCGTTGCAAGTTGGAAGAGACAGATACCGCTGGTTCGGCAGGAGAAAATTCAAAATTTTGGTTTCGTCTACTGATGAAAATCACAAAATCACTATTTTAGTGATTTACGTTCCTCTACGACTACGTCTACGTGTAGGTGTTGTACGTGAACGAAGTTACAGCAAACTATAAATTATATGTAGAAGTACTACGAGAACCACTGTTCTTGAAGATGATCTACATGTACGAGAACCAGTGATGATCTTACAACACCTTCTCCTTCAGCATGCAAAAGCTAAAATGATGACGATGGCGGGATTAGATTATGTAGGTCGAAAAGTAAATGAGGAGCCCCTGTAGGCGTAGCTGTACGTGTACCAAACTAAAAACGATTTTATCGATACTGGCGACTAAATAGTCTGTTATACTTATCGATCTTCTAAAACATGGACATGTGCGGGCCTTAACTAACCTCCACAGCTTTTCTCGCCTCTTTCAGAGGTTGGCAGGTTGTATGCGATTCCACAGCGGCAGAGCCTGGACTCTCTGAACCTTAAAGGTAAGTAGTTTTTCACTATGCGTGGTTGAGTGGGTTCCCTTTCTTAGGATAAGATAGGAGTTGACTCGCCGTCCACAGGGAGAACATGTATCCTCGAGCCTCCGTTCTTCCCCTCATAATGACCGCCACATTGAAATAATAGGAAGGAGTCCACTCAACATACATAGTCCAGACGGGAACTACTCGGACCTACTAGATAGTCTAGCCTTAAGAGCGCCCGGTTGAGACGACATGATGTTCCACCGCTGCAGGAGTCTGAGGAACTACACCCGTCATCATCACCCTCGTTCCACTGCTGCACTGGTTCTTGTACTAAGTAACTTCAGTTCAGCAGTTGCGCTGGACTTCATTACGAGGATTAGGATGACTTCTTCAGACGGGAGAACACTAATCTATGATGTACTAGCAAGAACCTGTTCCTGAGTGCACAAACAGTATACTCAGTGAAGATGTTCTTGTTGATATTTCGTTCTTCTCTCAGAAAATTTCTCTCTCATCTGTGGTAGTGAGTGATGACCTGCTCCCTCCTCTCAACACAAATTGCTGGTGCCATGGCGCTTCATTTCCTTGAAGATGCACCGCTTCAGCGATCAACATGATGTTATTCAAAAAAGTTGTAAAGTTTTTTTGTGATAGGTCTATTTAACTCATAGATATTCAACAAGAAAAAAAAACTCGTGCTAGACGTCTTGGTCATTTCAGTGTTGAAATCATACAGAATTGGAAAAAGTTGTGAGCTCCTGCTTTTGCATTGGAAAAAGTTGACTAGTCATAAAAGTTGCTGTCTACCATTGCCATCCTAGTTGTATACGCAAATCGCTTGTTGCGCTTGTTATTTTCTTGTAACAAGTCTAAAATTTCTAGTAAGACATCAACATTTGTTTATTGGTTTTGGCTCCACCGGATGACCTTGATCATGTCAAAGTCATTGCTCGCAATGATCCTCCCATGAGCATATTGCGGTAGTCTGGTCCTATCTGCGACCTATACCCGTCTTCAAACGCCTTGCGGCCATGCTCCAATAATTCGGGTCCATAGGATTGCGACAAAAGCCTAAGACTCTCGCAAAAGTGTTCTCGGTCGCTTTTCATGGTTTTCTGGCCCATTCCGCCAACATCGATAAGGGTTAGGAAGCCATTATCTTCATCATAAAAAATATTCGAGGGCTGGACGTCGCCTGGTGAGGGGAGGTTGGAGGTTGGAGACGTGAGGGTGGAGGGCTGAGGAAGAGGGATGTCTCATTATCGAACGAATTTTTACTTTCACATGTAGTTCATGTTGCTTGTGGGTAATTGAAGGAACGAAATTTCTGAACGCTTGCAGCCTTATATGTTGCTGGAGGAAACTACGACAGTGTTAGTTTGCAGATCTTCAAAAAAGATCTCCAAGAACTCCGTCAGTCAAAAAAGATGAGAGTTCGAACTAAGGCTAAAAGAAGCAGGTTGGGCAAGTAGATGTGAAGGTGTATGAGTGGTCATGAGTAGCCAGCACCATGTTCTCTCTCTGGATAGCGCAAATGGAAGGCTTTGAGGAATCGTCCTATTTGTCGAAAGAGCTCAAAAATTTTGGATCTCGGTAAACTAGGACTTCTCCAGGCATCAGCAAGGACCTCAGCTAGCCTTCTTCCGCGTGCTTTTCGCATTAGCATGACGTTGAGTTCCTGGAGTGAGGAGAGGTTTTTTTTTTGGCTTTGACTTTGTGTAGGTTTTTTTTTGACTTTGTGTACTAGTTCTGATCGTTGACACTACAAGAAGTAGTTCTTCTCTTTGATTTACTTTGTGTACTAATTCTGATCGTTGACACTACGAGAAGTAGTGGCAGATTATAGCACCAGAATATTGTTTTTAATTTCCCAATCTGTGTGTTGCTAGGAAACATCTTCATCTACATCTTCCTCTTAGTACCTCCGGTTTCCCATCTGCCGCTTTTGGTACATGTCGTACTCGTATAATTTCTTTCGGAAACGTTAACTGCGGGTCGTTCAAGATTCCCGGAATCTCAGCACGTACGTGAAGGATGTTATCCGCTTCTGACAAAATACCGGGATAGCGACTACCGCTTTTAACGACTTTGAGCACCTTCGCTTCCATCCCAGAACCCTCGGCACTGTAAACACCGAGGTTGAGACCACCTGAGGGAAGAGGATGAAGTGGGACGGGGTGTCTGGGTGAGGTGCTGGAAGAGGATGAAGCAGATAAGGAACCTGGAGTAGAGACGGGGATGATGAACGAAAAGGAATGAATATTTATGGATTTCGGTTCATAGTAGAAATTCTCGATGCCTAGAAGGTGGTGGAGGTAGATGAATCAATACCCTGGAATCCTTCCAATCTGGTTATTGTAGCATGTTCTGGAATCTTGAGCCATCGTTTCACTAGTGTAGCTTGACCGCCTGAGACTGGATTGAACTCCTCGTTTATCTTATAAAGCGGCAGATCATCAACACACCCTGCGCCGTATTTTCTCCGGTTTCGTGCGCCAGTGCTACCGGAAATATGAACGAGTGAGAGTCGTTTGCTAGACTTTGATTTGTCTGGAGTATCTCCCCAGAATGACATAATGTCGCAGTGGGGGTGATTCCAGAAGAACATCGAACGGAAAAACAATCGCAAATGAAGACCCAAGCTAGACATAGTAGAACAAGCCTCAGGCTTTGGTGCAACAACAAGTACTCTAAATGCATAATAGTAAGCTTCTGCCGCTCTTCTTCCTTCTTGCTCGTTAGCAAAAGGCCTTGTTTTGATGACCGAGGTGGTTGCGGCTGCACCAGGAGTCGGTGACGTTGACAAGAGACTCGTTCTGCTACTGGCGTTAGTGACTGAAGCTGTCCTTTCACTGTTAGCGCTTTCAATATCAAAAAAAAATGCATCTTCTAAAGAATGAGTGAATGATTGAATGAATGAATGTACCCACTCCAGGGGTTTAATCTAAGGGCTCCTCATCATCTTCTCCGAAGTATTTGATAGGGGAACAAATGAGTGCTGCAGAAGATCACTGGTTCATCTTCATGTATTAAACAAGATGAATTGAAACTTGAATTATCTTTTTGGTGAAGAGCCTTAACAATAGTAGTTCCCGCTGTAGGTGCACCTCCTGAAGCTCGGGATGTAGTCGCGGTCGTGGCATTGGAAGTTGTACCAGTTGTACTGATCATTCCGTTAGTACCAGCAGTCCCACCAGTAGCTGCAGTGCTATTTGGGGCCGGTAGTAAATTTGGACTGACTGATTGAAATGCGGAGCCGAGAAAACTGCCACCAGGTGGACGTGGGCCACGAACGGAGGCTAGGCCACTCGTCGTCGACGGTAACCGGTATCCGTCACTCACAGTCCTAGGAGGAAGAGCAGAAGACACAGTAGAAGACCGCACTTCTGGCCTAAAAGTGTGATGGGGCTGTGCAGTCCCAGCAGTAGCAGCTGTCGTCGTGGTGACTAGGTTTTAGATTTAGACCTCACCTTACCGTGAGCACATGAAGTAGCATCTTTGACGTTCTATTTTCCCTTGATGAAGACACCATGTAGTCATAGATGCACGACCTCATAGAAGGCCTACTTATAAATATAATTCGGAGATGAAGCGGCCCTAAATCTGTGGGTTAGTCGAAGAAGTAGCGGCGCTGGTACCCGTGACTACACTTAGTTGAGCGCTCGCTTGTTGTTGAGCTGCAGCACCCGTCTCTGCCGATGACGAGCGACTTCCCACACTCTGTTTTACTGGCGGCATAATTTCAGAGGTGTCGGTGGAATCAACCCTATGACCTCCACCACCTGCTGATGTTGAAGAAGTGCTAGAAGATTGAGGTCTCCTGGTCGTAGTTGTTGTATCTTCTTGTTTTTTGTTCACAACCTTAGAACGTCTTCCCCTTATTCATCTTGGAGTGCACCTCTAACCTCTTTTCTCCTCGAAACCATTTCAAAGATGCTTTTCAACAAGAGGAATGTGTATGTGGGGAAGCCTTAACAAGAACAGCGACACTAGTGCCACTAGTTCCGCCCTCAGTTGATGTTCCAGCAGCTGTGGCAGAGCTTGTAGTTTTAGCAGATGAAGCTGCTGTGGCAGGAGCCGGCGTAGCAGAGGCGGTGGCGGTCCCAAATAGCGCACTCATTATCCCTGCAGGGGCACCTACAAGGGTGCTCGATATCGTAGAAGCTGTATTCGCAGCGAGGACTCCTTCTGTTGGTGCGGTTGTAGCACTACTTGACACTGCGGAAGCACTTGTCTGAGGACCACTCGTAGTTGGAGCTACATCTTGCTTGTTAGCGCTTACTCCCACGACTCCGGAAGAAGAAGTGCTTGCACTTGCAGTCGTAGCAGACGACGCCGTTGTGGCTGGGGGTGGGGCTGGCGTGTGATCTTGACTGTAGGCTGCGTGCACTCTTGGGTCACTACTGTGAATTGTTGTCGACGTAAGCGTTTTTGTAGTCGTTGGTGGCCTTAGTTTAGAGAGTCAAATAGACAAAGACATCTTCCCCGATGAAAAACAACGACTTCGTTGTTCTTGTTGCTTCTACTATACAACTACATGGATTCATCACTACTAGGGCTACAACTTACAACTCATTGACCATGGATATTCATTTCAAGCCACGACCTTAATTATCGTCGTCGTGACACCAGACGAAGGTCGTCTGCTCGTCGTGGTTGTGCTACTACGATGTATCGTTGTCGAAGTCTTAGTGGCAGCAATTGCGGAAGAGGCCGTTGAGGAAATGAGTCCTGGGCTTCGCTGACTCGCAGACACGAAGGAGAGACTCGATGCACTCGTGCCACTGGTGGAGACATTGACCACACTCGAAGAGGAGGCTTGATTTTGATTAGAACTACACGAAGTTGTAGTAGGTGAGACTAGAAGTTGTAAGCGGAGGCTTTTTTGATAGATATACTGCAGACAACAGAAGATCTCAGTACAGTTTCTGTTACACTTAGACAGTAGTAACTACATAAAACGACAACAAGCATATGCCAATATGCATTCATTCCTTCGCATCCCTACTAGTAGTGCTTCTAGTCTACCGGCCGCAGAGTACTATAGCATGCGTGTAGTGCTCCTAGTATGTGCATATTATACATAGCAAGTCGCAGTGCTCCCAGTATGTGCATATTATAGCAAGCACGATCCTCAATCATAATGGCAAGTGCATTTCCTCCACCGGATATATTCAGCATGCTGGATGCAGTTGCTATGCCACTATCATCCAGCGACTTGAAGGACTGCGCAGACTGCTGTAGTTGATCTGCGCCAGAGGACACGGAGGCGTAATTGTTTGACGTGGTAGTTGTTGTGGCAGATGGTGCTGCTGTGCTGTTGGGTTATTAGAAGATCATTATGCACCAGGACGAGTCCCAGTCGTGACTTCTGCGAAATAGACGATATTTCAATTTTACAACACCTTGTTGCCCCTGAGCGTTCTGTCTCCTTCAATCCATTTTCCAGCTCCTCTACTAGTCGTACATGCACTGTAAGTAGTGCTACAAGAACATACGAAAATTCGCCTCAACTACATCATCTGCTTCATCACTACCACTGACTACATACAACGAACATAAGAAGTATTCCTCCTCTGACTCGCTGAAGAACCGGGAAGTGTTGTCACTGTAGACGTTGCACTAGTCCGTGATATGCGTCCCCCAACGACCGTTGCTGTACTACTGCGTCTTTGATGTGGGGAACCTACTGCATCACGGGCACTCCGAAGCGGACTAGAGGAAGACCCTTTTATTGATGATAGTAAAGAGAGGGGCTGTTGATGTTCAGAAGGTGCAAGAAGATTGTTTGTTTTTACGCTCAGCTTCTTCAGCAGCATTTGTTTAACTACTGACTTTACTGACAAGATTCAAAGAAGATAAAAACTTCAACAACCTGCCAAGGCCAACATGTACCAGATCTAGAATATAAATATTACCAAGTATCCTCGACGTCGCTGTGGAGGAACCAAACGCGCCTCTTGACGGTGGCGCTCCCCTTGCTGTTGCCGGTCCCGTATCTTGATCCAATTTTTGTACTCCTACTGGTACATCCTGTTCTTCTGTGATGAGTTCGACTCTGGTGAGAAGAGCGTTTTTCTTGCACTTTAGATCTACGTGAAGTCCGTCGGACTTGACAGCTAGAATCTCATCCTTCATTTTTTCACCGTGCGTCTTGCTATGGTAGTAGACTGGATCGCCGATTTTCAGCCCAGCAGCATTCGTGGACAAGCATATTAGAGTGTGGTGGGTTGAAAATTATTAAGTTAGTGATAAGCATATTAGAGTGTGGTGGTTGAAAATGATTAAATTAGGGATACAGTTTCGATTTCGTGCCTTGATTCTACTACTGCGTATCTATACTTGGATATCAACCAAAAAAAGTCAATCTGTCTAGTTGTTGGTGCATGTGAAGTGTTGTGAATTTCTAGAGCCTTTGCCTTAAAAATGGCTCCTGTGCCGATGAAAGCGCTGCTCCTCCAGCTTTGTGGAATTAGAAGATCACGCTCTTTTTCAAATTCGAAGCCTATCTCGATCAAAGTACTACCGAACTTACCTTCTTCCAGCAGCGTTTTCAATTCAACTTCATCTCGTTGTAGTGAATCTATCTCATAATCGTTCAAATTTCTTGTAGGCGGGGGTGCCGTTGAAGCGTCTGTTGGCGTTGGCACAGGGCGGATCTGGGTAGTCGGCGGGGGCGCGGCTGGTGTTTCTGCAGGAACCTCCACGCTCGTGGGGCCGATGGTGGTAGCCAAAGGAGACCAGGGTGAAGAGGCTGCTGTGTAATGTTTGGGAATCAACATGATGTTGATGAAGATGGTCACGCTATATTTGCAAAGGTTGTTGATGAAGATAGAACTACACTTAATGACCTGGTTGCCAGTTGATTCATTCTACTCTTAGTACTTCTACTTCTAGTGCTCAAATAAATACCTGCTGGAGTTGGCTTTCTATCTTCTGGTACTCAAATAAATACTAATACCTGCTGGAGTTGGCTTTCGTGGCTCCAGGTCGTCGCCCGGCTCCCCCTCAAATCGTCGGACGTTCTCAGGCTTTGCTTTTGGCTTGACATCCAAGGTGTAGGCTATCTGTGCAAAAATGGTGCGAATGCATGGTAGCTGTCTCGTCTACGAGTCATTCCTGAGCTACAAGTTGTAGCGTCTTTGTTCTTATTTTCCAATAAACGTACAACTTCTACAACTGTCACAAGATGAGTAATATCATGTAAGCTGTACCACAACAGACTACCACACAAGCAAGCAATATGTACCACTTTATGACTGGAATCGCGAATGCGTTCTTGGATAGCTGCGCGCATCCACGTGTTATACGTTTTCGAGTAGTATTCGCACTCATTATCATCCTCACGTGGTTGCTTGTGTATCTTTATCTTACTACCGGCGACGTTGTACTTCATCTTAGAAGGAAGGGTTGGGGTTCGGGGCTGAACAAGTTGACCTCTATATTCGATAAACTGACTTAAGCAAGAACGAACTACAGACAAGAATATCTATATCAACCGAGATCATACTGAAAGAGGAAGAGTAGCCTTGTAAAAGCTACGCCCCTTATTTCAGTCAGTAACTCGTCGATTATTTCTATTTTTCGCATATGTCCTTGATAGTGCCAAAATCTATGCCTTAACAACAGTACGAGCAGTGACATTCCCAGCGCCACTACTTGGACTTGGCTGCGGCACCATTTTTGCTGCGAAGCTGGTGGGACCAGGGGTTACGGTTGTTCTAGATCACGCGTGAAGAAGAAGTAATTGAGGTAGTTCTTCTTAGGGTAGATGATGTCCTGATCCTGAACCACGCATGTGCGTGAAAAAGTAGTAGTAGTAGTAGACGTGGTAGATCTAGATTTCCTTATGGTTGTTCTACCAGAGGAGGAGGATCTCTAGTACGCATGAAGATTTAGTTCTTTATTTGGTAGAAGAAGTTCTCCTGGTCCTGATGGCGGTTCTCCTCTTCGTCAATGTCCTCGTACAAGACAGATCACGTGGTCTCTGAACATCAAGTAGGAACACAACAGGCCCACCACGTCGTCGCTGAAGTGATGGTCGTGCTCGTCTAGCAGCTACTATTGCTCGTACAAAAGTTATAGATACGTACGTCACAGGTCGCTTTTAGTTTGCGAAGTCGTGAGGGCAAACAACCCCCTTGAGCGGTCACGGTGTTCTTTCCTAATGTCCGACTTGGGTTCTTCTCTCCATCATCTTCTGTTGCGGACTGGTACAATAATGCGGGCGCTAGGCGGGATGTTGATGCTCTTCAAGTTCAAGCCCTTTTACTGAAGATCGTTCTTCCTCTACAAGATGAGAAATTCTCTGACCCAACCACTTTCATCAGGCATCATCGGTAGCAGGAGCATCTCCTCGTCCTCTCAGAAGGACTTTGAAAGACCACGTCACGAGGCTGACGTAGAAGTAGAAGTTCTATCTTAGATAGTTGTACAAGAAAAAGAATGAAGTGCCTTTGGGTTTGCTTCTTGTTATGTACTATTCACGTCCTGCTCCTGACTGATCCCATTCCAATTCCCGCAATGTTTTCCGTGGTCTTGCGACCTCTTTTTTTCTCGATCATGAGCAACTTTGCGCTTCCTCTGTTAGTAGTCTCCGTCTGACAACGCAGTGCTAGATAGAGCTAGAAGCTAGTACCGATTGTACTACACAACTCAGCTAAAGCACACCAAAGAAGTCAAAGATTTCATCTTGCACTTCCACTTGTAGTTCTGCGTAATCGTCTCCGCACATCGTCGTTTTCGTCGTCGTAGTGAGAGTAATGATCTCGTAATCTCCGCTGCACTACAACTTCCTGTGTCACACAACTGGTTCGCTGGCTACAACTACAAGAATCGCGAAAGACTCGGAGTTGTTCGAAAAAGGTCATGCTTCATCTTCTTTATGACCACAACCATAGCAGGTATAGGAAAAGCTACTTACTTGATGTACTGGACGCTTAACAACTAGAACTACTACGTTGTACAGCCTACTTTTACAACTGGTACTTTCTCGTCCACTTAAATTGTTATCACAAGGAATCCAAAGCCAAACTCTTGCTGATCTTCATGTTTACATTCGACATCCTACTGGAAATCGACCTCTACTTGTGAGATTGCGGACTACAACCACCACAACATCTGCTCTTCCAGTACAGAGTTGTTCATTGTTCGCCTTGTCAGCATCAGAGTAGCGTTTTTAAAAACATCATTCATCTTCTCTTTCAGCAGTGGCGCTTTTGTCTCCACGAAATCGCTCGACTATTGTTTGGTTATCTCTCGGTCTTTTCTTTACTCTCTATGCAGAAAGAGAGACATGACTTGACATCAGCATCTCCTAGATTATAGGGATTTTTTTCTCACAATCTTCGGATTGAGTGAATTTCCTTTCCCACTCTGCTTCATTGATCTACCTTTCCGATGTCCGTAAATGATTGAGTATGGACATCTTATAATCTACCGTCTTTATTGGGTTCGAGGACATCTTACAGCCAGAGGAAGACTGAGGGACAATTTCATATTCAATAATCTGTTTGCTCAGTGTCAAGGTGAGAGAATCCGATACAGCCAGTTGGTGGCTGAGGCTATGCTGGACTTGTTTAGTTGCTAAAAACATGCAAAGCATTAGTAATGATGATATTGTTCTTCATTTTAGATCTAGTCCGACTCTATTTTTCATACCACGTACTTATGTAAAATTTGTAAAAAACGGAATGGCGAGGAACTCCATCAGCATCACGGTACATATAAAAATTCTGCAATCGAAAAAAGACACGGCTTCTCATGAAATATTTCTTGCTTTGTCGAGTATTTTGGTCGCCAAAAACGTCATGATTATCGTTAATCATGCACTGGAATAGTATTCCCCGTTGAGGTGCATTCGAGATTCCACCATTGCAACATTCTTCGGAACATCCTTGCCCTCTTTTGTTTTTCTATTGAAAAACGAGGGAAGGATGGTGGAAGTCAGAGACAGATGCAAGATGATGGTAAACCATAAATATTGTATAGTATTCGATGAATCCTTGATTTCGTCTGGTTCTGCCTTAATAAACAAAAACTCGATCACAATTTTTCGGAAAATCGCCATATCTTTCGTGCCAGATCGATCCAGTGCCGTTGTGCAAAATACTTCGAGAGCGCGACTGTTTCTGCTATTCAAAAATAGAGGCCTGCTGATGTACTCTTGTAGGTCGTTGTGTACCTGTGTAACAGACACCCATTCTGATGAACTCGTGTACTTTTCTAGATCTCTGAGAAAATTATGACGCCAGTTGAACTTACCTAGTTTGACAGCGCGTGGTGGGTCCACAAGATCACTACGAATCTCATTCTGGAAGGCGCCGCCGAAGGCTGTAGTAGTTAGTCTGTCGCCATATTCTCCTCTTGTTCGATCGACAATGCCGAACTTGTCCTCAAGATCTACTTTTACTTCTTCTGTTCGTTCTACTTCTTCGGTGACTTTGTAGTCGTAGCGGCACATCTGCAAGAACATCGCCTCAGTCAGCAGTTTGATCTGTTCTTTGTGGGACAGTGGACCTTCTTCATGACCTGGTCGTGGAGCCTTGGGAGCTACGAAATTGATGCGATACACGAGATGCGGGAGTTTGGCATCATCACCCAGCCAACTTTGAAGCGTCGTGGGGTCGAGGCTGGGTTTTTTTTCAAAATATTTTAATGAGAATGGCGCCATTAATTAAGAGCGTTGTTATGAGACTGTCGGCTCTTGTCCTTGTTCCTCAAGCCTAGGCCAGTGGTCGGAGCGCTGCTAGCCGTCGAAATTCTCACGCCTTCACTCTTAATAAATGAAGCCATACGGCCATCCTGATCACCTGCACATTTCGCTTCTCTTGGTTTTCGAGTTTTTCGTTCGGTGATCTCAGTATTTTCCCTAGTGTATCGCGAGGGATAAAGGGGACACCGTCATTGTGCCTGGCATGGCTTTTCATATTGATTGGAATTTCGTGCATTTCCAGCGGCGGGTGATTTAGCTCTTCTTGTGGCGGGAGCCCTGCTTGTACTTGCGATTTCGCCAACGCCTCGGACTGTGTTCTCCCATTCTGCTGTTGCTGATGTTGCTCCACTCGTTCTAAAACTTGTTCTACTTTTTGATGCAACTCCCGTATTTCCTGGGATATTACTGTCTGCTGTTCTTGTAAAACTTGTTTTACATCCTGACGCAACTCCTTCATTTGTTCTTGATGGGATACTCTAATCTGCTGTAGTAGGTCTTCTGAAGAAACTTTGTCAGAAAATACCTCTTCTAATTTTGCCACTACTCCATTCACTACTCCATCCTGTAGTTGTTGTTGATGCGCGACAATGATATCTTTCAAGTCTGCGACAACGTCCCTGCGTAAATTCCAAAAACTTATGAAGAAGGGGAGTGACGAGTAACAGTGTAGGCAATCAGAGTAAGCAGTGGTGACATCCTCAACCTATGGCTCCTATCTTTAGAGGCCGTCGTCTAGCTGCTATCTTGAATAGGAGGTGGTCAGGATCTCGCGGTACTAGAACAAGTGAGCCTACTACATGATTAATTTATAGCCTGCCATATGACCCCCACCAGGAAACGATGTTTCCACGGCTTCTCTTTCTGTGAAACTCGAAAGCTTGCCACTTGGAGCCACGGATATCAACGAATTCGGTGCCTCAGCAAAGTCTTCGCCTTCAATAGTATCGGTCTCAGGTGAGTCGTCTGGATCTGCAGGTAGTGAGCTTATCACAATTGTCATATTGTTTATCGAGCTTGGTTTTGGTTTATACTTCTGGGAAGGTACAACTAGGGTTTCTTGAAGAAATGACTTACTAGAATCATCTTGTCTACTTCTTCAAGTTGTTCAGGAGCTATAATAAGTAGAACAAGAAGTAGATGAAGCTGAAGCACAAGTCGAAGAAGGTACTAGTTGATCGAATTCCAGACTACAAATTATATAGTTTTATCAAGTGTAGTACGATTGTGATCCGCTCCACCACACGCATCGGCATTATTGCCATTTTTACATGCCTCACCGACAGCATCAAACATGCTTGGATTCCCGTTATCACGTGACTGTACGTCAACCACCTGCGAAAGCAATGCTGGGATCACCACATGCACAAAAATATGCTTACCACGCCAACGTTGTGAGTAGTTGTACGTCGTTGTAAATAGACTATTAGTTTCGGGAGACGATGGCCGCACCTGTTCATATTTCAATCACGTATGAGCACACTCGTCCAACATGTTATTAGAGTAATCGGAGTGCTGGTCAGTGGAATTGAAATTCCGAGTCTTGAGCTTTCTGTTGATCTATTATCACCGAGTAAAATCCAAACCCACGACACCAGGAAGGTATTACTACCAGCCGTCTCCCTTTTGATGCTCTTGTGCGTCGGAATCGGACATCTCCTGCCTGTCCTTGTTAGAGATAGAGCTGCTACCGCGTGCGTATCAAATTTTGTGGCGAGAGTACAGTTGTCATCTTTGGCCATGGTCATGTACTTCATGTCTAACCCTCCCTGGTCAACTTTGCAGCAATTCTTACACAGAGCAACGGACCCCGCCTCATGGTAAGCATTTCCATCTTTCGCTAATTCAACATGTTGACAATGAAATCAGCGAAGACAAAGATGAACTGTTGGTATGCCTTTTTGTATTTTTCTGGAATTGAAAAAAAGAAGAATCAAGAAGTAGAAGATCAACTCTATTTCATGAGAATCGTTGTCGTTGGACTTCGACAATAGCCATAATCATTCGGTATATCAGTGAAGAGCTCTTTCCAGTTGTGCCTGAGAAGTTCCCTTCCTGATGTTAGAGCGTCAGTCTGAGAGTGAGAGAGAGTGATCCTAGTACAATACCAAAGCGCACAATTCTTTTAGAAGTACTGTCTCAGTCTGTATCTGAAGAAAGCATACGGACCCTAGTACTAGGTCGTCGCCGTGGAGCAAAGATAGACTGTGAGTGTGACTGGCCATAATCTTCGATGAACTTGAGCAAGTTGTCTATGCATCTGTCCGAGCTGAGTATCCCAGTGTATCCACTGCCAAAGTCATTACCTCTGCGCCGTTGCTTCTGAAAATTGAGAGAGAGTAGGAGTACTTCAAAGGTCCAGTTCTTCGTTACTACCTAGTATCCCATAAAGTGTCTAGTTGCTTATCCAGCTTCTCAAGTATTGTATTTTACTCTACTTCAAAATCAAAAGAATATTGAATTATATTTATAGTACTTAGTGCAGCTGGGGGTAGTCGTTACGACTCGTAGCATCTATTAGTAGTACAATTGTAGTACCAGAGTGGTCGGCTCTGCGTCCACGAATACCCGACATCTATCCGCAATACTCTTGCTCTTCGCATATATTCCCGGTAGTGTTTTGCGCAACCAGCGGCCCAAGCTCATATCGTCTTCATCCTGTTTGTTATGCTGATTTGTACAAAACAAGACATTGACAGACATTTTTGGAAATACGGAGAGAGTAGTCGTCGTGTTAATCTATCAGGAGAATGCAAAATTTACAAAAAGAGCAAAAAAATAAGTTACCGTTCTGTTCGGGAGCGCCGCGAAGTAGAGACACACTTTCCGGACTGCCTTGCTGTCGGATTCGACCGACAGCAATAAGCGAAAAACGCTCTGCGCCTCCTCATCATCTACGACTATGTGACCGACGTGTCCCTGATGGTGTTGATCAGTGGGTCTAGTTTCTCTACACTAGCAGTATTTGTATTTCTGACACTAACCTTCAACCTCTTAAAAAGAATGAACTAGAGTAAAGGAAAGAGTTGATGATCTGAAGAACCACGAATGAGATGAAAAACAAGAATGTTGACATGAAACACGTCGCGCTAGCGTCGGTATAATTGGCATAAGCTTCGAATTAGGGAGAACAGTGCTGCTTGAACATGAAGTGGAACTCTAAATACACCTAGTAGAAGGAGCTAAAAGTTAGTCTGTACCTACAAGAAGTCAGTCTGACACTGACTATCAACCTATGGTATTCATGAGCCACAAACTGGTTTAGTTTAAGTTCCACTTCATGAAGAATTCATCTAGTAAAGATGAAAAACAAGAACCACGAATGAAGTGGAACTCTAACTACACCTAGTAGAAGGAGCTACAAGTTATAGTCTGTAGCTGTACCTTCAAGCGAATCTTTCCGTTCGCATCAGTCAAGCCGAGCAAATGGTAATACTTTTGCCAGATCTCATACTCAGCGTCTGCTAGATGGTCGAGCAAGTTTTTTTGCGACGTTGCGGTTGCGTCGAAAATACACTGCGTAATAAGATGAAATAAGTGAAATAAAATTGAGTTGCTGGTAGAGTAGGAGTTCAGTTGTTTTGAAAGTGAAAATGCCGGAAAGTATCTATGTATAGGTACTTCTTCCCTCTGAGGGAAATGATGTTCCGGCATGACGTCCTTGGCTTCGTCGCAAACGGTGCTGGTAGAAGTGTCCATAACCCTCACTTCAGAACCGAGCGCGTCTGTCATGACTCTTCTTCTCTGAGATTCAAGAGATCAAAGACGGTCGTGTAGATCCCCGTTTTCTACCTCGAGGTTATATGAGCAACCATACTAGTTAGACTAAATCTAAGACTTTTTAGCGGGTTTATTTCAGCAGTAGTAAACATCATGAAGTAAGTAGTTGTATCTCTTGAAAGCAAAAAGCCTCGCTCTCTCTCCTCATCCTCGAGTATCGTTTTTGTTCTCTGTCTCTTCCTCATGTCGGCGTCTCGCTTCTCAGACTCCACCTTTTTCTCCAGTTTTCTCTAAGACTCTTGCTTCTCTTCAGGCATCCTCGTAGTTTCTCAAGTTCCTGCCTTCAACATGGCCCTCCTATACCATCTTCAACTCCACTTTATATATACCTCTTCATCACTTCATGTCGTGAGCTGCACCATGCCATAATTCTATTTTTTGCCAGATTAAGATGCAAACCGAAATGGAAAACTACGCTCAGCCACACATCACCGATTTCATCATCGTTCCTCTAATGAAAGCCATGATGTAGATGTTGTTGTCTGAAGAACTTTTACTACGATGATGAAGGAGACAGATGGTTAGGCAGGAACAATTAGACAAAGACAGGATGTTGATAAGGAAGCCAGTTGTAGTACTCTTTCTTCTTCTGCACTTTTTCTTGTTTTAATGTTCCGTCCTTCAAATTAATACTTCGGTTTGCTTGCTCATACTCCCTATACAGAGAAAGAGACTCAACTTGATCACAGCGCTTCTCCTGGTCCTGGAGTGGGAGTGCGTCGATCTGCAGATGAGCGCAGACTTTGTTCTTTAAGGGCTTGCTTAATCTCTTACAAGCGGCGGGTGCTTCGTTCTACTCCTGCAACCTAAACCAGTATGGTTCTGAAAGCACATGAATGAGGTTTATTGCGTCTCAAATTTTGTGGGGTGTAGTTTTTTCGGAAATGCGCCAATTTTTGGGTGGATATCAAAATGAATAGGTTATGACGTAAAGAGGAAAGAGGTAAACAACAACGATGGAAACAAGAACGCGATAGGAACAGAAAGAAACGCATGAACAAATAATGGCGGATAGCAGTAACAGCAAAAGGCAGAATGGCTACATGGTTTACAAAGAATAGCATCTTAAGGTAGTAACAACGATTATAAAAAGATATTTTGTGTAGTACATCAAAATTGACGACAGGAAGACCAGATTGAGGAAAGGCAGTAGTTCACAACTTCGCACTCATTCAGCATTGAAATTTTCACGATGCAGCAAAGGGAAAGGATCAGATCAACAACGTCGAGTATCACAGGAGAGGAAGAAGAAGAAAGTTCAAATTTATTATTGTTTTTTTATTGGATCAACGTCCATGGTTCTGGAGTAGGTGTTATTATTTTTTCAGGACAATCTCTCTGGATTTCCGCCACCAGGATGGGCCTATCATATTTGACATCGATAAAAGCAATGAAGATATCCACACCTTCATCTAGTTTCTTCGAGGTCGAGGACATCTTTCAACAAAAAATCAAAAACACAATATAAATATGATAGCTTGAGGATACTCACCGGCTGTGTGCCTAAGATTTCTCTGACGATTTCAACTTTCTGTTCCTTAATACTACTAGGGAACCGAAAAGTTCACCTGGTGCTTGTACGGAAACCCCACTAGATTATTTTTCAATTGCCTCTCAGTCGCATCCTTCGTGAACTGAAAGTAAATATCAATTTTTCTAAAAACCTCCTTTCTCTTGATGCCGTCATTGGATATCAATGGAGTTGCGCAGTCTATACTGAGAACAGAACTACTTCTTTTCATTCATCTCCGCAGATCCTTGAGAAAGGCTTGCAGGTGAAGGTAGATACTCCATATACTGAAACCCCTTTAGCCCCTCTTGTAATTCGAGCTTAGTCGCACCCTTGATGAACCTAAAGAAAATATCGATTTTTCTAAAAACCTCGTTCTTGTTATTTTCCGCAGATGATGGAGTTGCACATTCTATGTTGAGAACACGGTGTCTTGATATCGTGACCTTCTGAGATTCGCCCCCGCGAGCACGTTTCTTCTCATCTCCTATCTTCTCCAGGCTCTTGAGGTAGACTTGCGCGTTTGTCACAGCCTCCTCTTGGCCTTGTGATGCGGTCGTCATGATTATCTCCGTAGTAGACATATTCTTCCGCCAATCGAATTGCTGTAGTACGACTTTGCGTGGCTCTGCTGCATGACCACGAATCTGATTTTGGAACAGCTCAGCAGCAAGAACTTCTTTGTCTGTTCCAGCATTGTTCTGTGGTGTCTGGCTCGGTCCGAAGAACTTACTCGCAAGGTCCTCACGACTGACTACTCCTCGTTTGACTTCATCGTTGAAGTCGTATCCGTTGCGGCACATTTGCACGAGCATCGCTTCGTTCAGAAGATCGACTTGTCCATTGTATGAGATCAGTGGATGTGCAGACTGCTCAGGAGTTGTTGTTACGAAATTGATGTAGTAGACCAGATTAGGCAAGTTAGCTGTCAATGCAAGGTTCTTCCAATCAGGGAATGTTCGACCTGAGCGAATCAACTCTGCCATTTGGTTGTGTGAAAGAACGACGCAACTGATTAAGAGGGTTGGTATGAGGTTGTCGTGCGTGGTTCTTCTTCAATGATCGCCTTAACACGCAGTTCCCGTTGGTTAAAAAAATTATACTTAAGCTGACACTCTCATGGCCTAACTCTTAATCAATGGACCCATACATGTGTCTTGATCACCTGCACATTCTTTTTAACTTCTTGTAGATGTTGTTTTAGATCCGCCTGCTGCTGCACAGTTTTATCTTCTCCAAGTGATTCCAACAGTATGCGAGAAGGCACGAATGATACGCCATGATGAAAGTCGGCGTCCAAGCTCGGCTCCTCGATATTGTGCATCAATAGCGGCTCGCGCTCGTGTTCCAGAAGTGGTTCCACAAGTGCTCCTTTTACGTCCGCAATCACCTCAGCCAATGCGTCGCGCTCGCGGTCGGACTCGGCATCCAAGTGTTAGAGCTAATAACGTGCGAAACATACACGCACCCTATGAAGAAGTTAATGCTTCCATGTAGCTACCAGTGTAAGCAAACTAACTGCTCCAAAGATGGCGCGATATTTTTAGCCGCAAACTCAATATTTCGCGTCCGAAATATTTGCGTCCTGATGTTGCTTCTCCTGCTTGTCTGCTTTTCGTCCCACTTCTAACTTCATCACATTAATATAGCTGGTAAGCGTGAGAGAAATGCCAAGGAAGAGCGTAGTACAACTACAAGCATGACCTACCAAACTAAGTAATTGGACCTAGAGTTAATTAAAGACGTCATAAAATTAAAAATGGAAATGATCATAATCTAAATCATCTGATCCACCTCCACTATATGAGAATGCAAAAGAACCTCCGTCTGAGTCGCGGTTGCTCGTGCCAGTACCTCCAACTCCGGCGAGATTAGAAGTCTGACGGTGTTAACTTAATCATGAGAAAGGAGGAAGCCTGGTTCATGAAATGGAAGAAAATTAATACAGATCATACGTAGCACTTTTAGACAAGGGCGTAGGGGTATCAGCAAACGAGATATCGTGGGACGGATATTACGTAAAAAGCCCTAACTACAACCCCATGTCCTGAGGCGGCAACATTAAAAGAGTAATAATGGCCAAAAGAGTCTAGAGAGTTCTTTTGGGGGATTGTCGGGGGGAGAAGGGGGGTCCTAGGGGCGGGATTAGGGGGGTAGGGTGGGACCCACCCCTGTCCAACCCCTGCGCCTGTCCAACCCCTGCGCAACCCTCTGCGCAAGACCGCAGGCTTGAAGCTTGAAGCCTCAACCCTATCACAAGACCCAAGCGCTACTCCGCCCGATGGAGTCCCCCCGCCGCGAGGCAAGACGCGTGGGCTTGTAATGCAAGAGCTTGGAAGCGCGCGGCCTACTTGACTCGGATGAAAACCGACCGACTTCACAAAAGGACACCCATCCAACACGCGCGACAACCCTGCAAGAAGAGCAAACTCCAAGGAGCTCCACTCCGATGCTTGCGACTCACACTCCGCGAACTAAATCGACTGCCCCGATATTTTCAAGACGGGGGGAGGGGGGCCTACCAATGTCCAACCCCTGCGCCTGTCCAAATGGTCAAAAGATTCTCGGCCGGCTTTTTGAGGGATTCTCGGGCGGGGGAGAAGGGGGGCCCCCGTAAGGGTCAGCGAACGCCCCCCGCGGTCCTACATAAGACGCCACGCCTTCCCCCCTCTGGTATACTACTGAGAGCTTGCCCCATCTTGGTTCGAGCGTCACGCGAAAAGCGTGACGCGTCACGCGAAAAGCGTGACGCTTTTGTTGCATGTACCCTACAGACTTACTAGAGACAAGGCGTCACGCTTTTCGCGTGACGCTCATGATAGGGCCTGCAGATGAAGGCCCCACCTTCAGATCATGAGGACCTTCGGGCCCTCAGCTGAAGTCTTTCCGATCATGAGAGAGGACCCTCAAGGGAGAACCCTCACTCTGAGAGGGCTCGCCGGTGAAGTCCTTCCGATCATGAGGACCTTCAAGGGAGAGCCCTCAATCTGAATAGAGGGCACTCAGCTGAAGTCCTTCCGATCGTGAGGACCTTCAAGGGAGAGTCCTCAATCTGAGTAGTTAAGTAGAGGGCACTCAGCTGAAGTCCTTCCGATCATGAGGACCTTCAAGGGAGAGCCCTCTATCTGAATAGAGAGCACCCAGCCAGCTGAAGTCTTTCCGATCATGAGGACCCGCAAGGGAGAACCCTCACTCTGAAAGGGTCCCCAAATGAAGCACTTCCGATCATGAGCGAGGACCTTCAAGGGAGAACCAACCCTCACTCTGAATAGAAGACACCCAGATGACCCCCAAGGGAGAGCCCGCCCTCAGTCGAATCTGAGAGGGCCCCCCGATGAAGCTCTTCCGATCATGAGCGAGGACCTTCAAGGGAGAACCCTCACGCTGAGAGGGCCCTCCGATGAAGCTCTTCCGAGCATGAGAGAGGACCTTCAAGGGAGCGCCCTCCCTCTGAGAGGGCTCGCCGATGAAGCTCTTCCGATCATGAGGACCTTCAAGGGAGAGCCCTCAATCTGAATCGAGGGCACTCAGCTGAAGCCTTTCCGATCATGAGGACCCCCAAGGGAGCGCCCTCACTCTGAGAGGGCTCGCAGATGAAGCCCTTCCGATCATGAGGACCTTCAAGGGAGAGCCCTCAGTCTGAAACTGAATAGAGGACACTCAGCTGAAGCCTTTCCGATCATGAGGGCCCTCAAGGTGGGAGAGCCCTCGCTCTGCTCTGAGAGGGCTCGCAGATGAAGCCCTTCCGATCATGAGGACCTTCAAAGGAGGGCCCTCAACCTGAATAGAGGACACTCAGCCGAAGTCTTTCCGATCATGAGGACCCTCAAAGAAGAACTTCGGCCAGCGTCACGCTTACACACTGGCAAAGGGGCGCCTGGTCTGCATTGGATTCCCATGCGTCACACTAAAGAACGCACGCGGGAAAGACATCCGACCCCGATGAGATTCCCACGCGTCACGCTAGAGCGCACATCGTCAAAAAGCACCCAATCCCCCCGAGATTCCTATGCGTCACGCTAGAGCACGCATGGCGAAAAAACACCCAATCCCCCCGAGGTTCATATGCGTCACGCTAGAGGCGTGACGCGTGACGATCCGCGGGGGGCGTTCGCTGACTCTTACGGGGGGCCCCCAGGGGGGGATGGGCGGGGCAGGGGGGCGGGCGACCCCCGTCCAACTTCCGCGCCAGACCAGACGCGGCGACGCTTGAGAACCTCGACGAAAACAGCAGAAAAAACAGCACCACAGTAGGGGGGTTAGCGTCGCGCCGCTCCTCCTTGGGAGTGTGCGCGCGGAGGCTGCGAGCGAGGTATCTTAAGGAGAAAGGGGACCAACCTGCTGGCCCTGGCAACGCCTTCACAGCTTCCCCGCTGCTTGATGATTTTCGTGGCGCAAAGCCGAAAAAGCGCCGAAGGTAAGAGCCAGCCACGCGGGGGGGCCATAGCTGTAGGCGCGCGGCTAGCTCCTCGCGGATCTGGACACCCCTCGAGGAGAGTGCAGCCGGAGAAGTCCGCGGCTGGGCAATCTCGCCAAGATAGAAACGCAGCGCCCAACTCCCGCCCGGGCAGCCCCTCGGGCCCCCTGCACCCAGTTGCAACCGACAACGCGAGGAAGAAGCCGCAAATAAAAGGCGCCAGCCTTAGGGGCTGGCCCCGTGGTCTCTCTCACTCTGCCTGAGAAGAAAACCCCAAGAAAGTCTGGCAGCCGATGGGCGGCGTCTTCTCAAGCTCCGCGAGCTTCTTGATATTGAGCCCCGCGCGGTGGGTCCTCTTCCTCTTATTTTGAAGGCGCTGGCTGCATCCATATGAGAGAGAGAAACAGCCCAAGGCGCTGGGCGTTCGGGTTCGCGCCGTGCCCGTTTCTTCAGGGGTCCACGCTGCTCCCCCATCTTTCCGGAGCGATGGCGCCTTTGCTTTGTCTTTGTGGGGCCATGCTGTAGCTTTGGCGCCTGCTCATACGGTGCCCCAGAGGTCCAGCCGCGTGGTGTTGGGGGAGGGGTGTGGTCATGCGGTGCTTGGGGGGTCTGGTTGTGTCCTTTTCCTTCGGGGTGTGCTCGTGCTGCTCCAGGGGGCTTGGCTTTGGCCAAGCTGCGCCCCAGGGGCCATGTTGCGTGGGGAGGCTAAGCCGTGGCGAGTTTGGAAGGCCGTGGCGCGTTTAGAGGTCGGGGCGTCAGTCGGTGTTTGGCGTCCGTGGTGTGCTAGGGGGGTCGCCCAGCGCTTAGGGCGCCTCTATGCGCTATATTGGTCGCGTTGTCGCCGGGGGGTCCTGGAATACGTCGGGGGGCCGGCGTGTGTTAGTTTAGATAGACGCCGCGGCGTCGATCTC